AACCCGAGGCTGTAGGGTAAGTCATGTTGATATAATCGACGTGAAGAGGCCAGACTTAAGCAGCTGTCACTCTGTCCGGAGGTTAAATAGTTAGTTAATCCAACCATCAGACTCCCGTTGTAGGCTAATAACACGCACGCCTAAAACTTAGATATTAATCTTTATAAGTCAAGTGGTAACTATATGTACCATCTGTTTTGACAATCACTAACGCTGTTTTTTTTTGTAATTATACGTTTCATGTAGTTTTCAATTGAAACAGTCATTATTTTCTTAAACTGCGTTAACCAGTTGAGCTTTGTTCTGGTGAAGTGTTGTGTTTTCTTTGCGGTACGAACTGAATTATCCGGCTTCAAACGATTGCAGAAACAAAAGTAAAGATCTGGATGATGGATCGTATGTTGACAACCTTTATCTTGGGCTTGACATAGAAAGATTGAGGAGGCATCTCTGGAAGAGGGCAAAGTGTTAGGAAGCTCATCCCGTGCATGTCTTATGCACCTTCTACAATTAACAGGAATGACTATGATTTATGAAATCTTATAGAAATTTATTAAAAGTTCTTGAGCGGAGGACTAGGCCATCACAATATCGCTACCTGTACAGCACAGAAAGAAGCGGGTTTTTGTCCGCGCGGAACTCAAACCCGAGATCCTAAGCTGTTTTGGACCTCTGCGCCTTGCAAGAAGCAAATGTATCTAAATCAGGGGATACCGAACGCCGATTATTATTAACGTTTCTTCGTATTCAGTTGGCAGACCTGTTTGGTTCATTAGTTTCAGTGCACGTTTGTATCTCGTAAAGTTCACGTATGACTTGGGCCAAGGTATCCATTAACAACAGGAGAGCACAAAGTGATTTTGATTTCTAAGTTACCTGGTGAACTTCAACACTTTTCATGAATCTCGTTTTATAATTAGATTATTCTTCTTTAAGTGGTCTTCATTTTTGTCAAGACCCTCAAAATTCTTGGTTTAATTTATGAGTAAACAATCATTATCTTATACGATCTTTTCTAATCTTATCACTTCCATTAAACCCACAAAAGCTACAATTCACCTTTAATCTCAGGAACATATATTTTATTTTTATATCTTCTGTCAAAATGACATGGCTGTGGGTACCATAACTTATTCTGTGTATTTTCAGCGCCTGTGCTCCTAAGAGAAACCACGTGGCTACTCATTGACCCTTCGAAGAATCGCCGATTGTCTTAGAAGTGTCATAAAATAATATCTTAGTTCCCCTTTCGGTGTACGATCTGTCACATACGATTTAACACATCCGAAATATTAAAATATTATTCCTGTACCGAAATTTAATTAAGCACATCTTCGTTGGAAGAATATTTTATTAATTGCATGACGGATTTTCTGCCCGTGCAGCTGAAATAGATTTGTTGCCATAGTCAGATCGAGGGGAAGTTACGATGGGCTAAGCACGTAGCTTCACAGTGTATTATTATGGTTCAGGAAATCTTCTAAAACTGTATGGAACAGATTCTTTCTTGAGATGATAATAGTCGCTTAGCTGGTAAAAAAATTCGCGGTTTCATACGGATCCCGAATGTTCATTGCCATATTCACAAAACCCCCGCCACTAGTTCCTACTCTAAGCCAGATGAACCGGGGCCACACCCTCCCACACTTTTTGTCTTCGGGTAATCGTTTTCCTAAAAATTACTTAATTATAGTTTATTAGATCTGAAGGGGGAAAATACATATAATTAAATACCAGCGTTTAAATATTCTCTTCAAGCTATTTTCTGCAAAAACACTTTGTTAATTCAACAGAAACCCTTCCTCATGTGCCTGTCATACTATTACACTCTCTGCTGCAAGGTTCTAGCTCTCGTATCTTATCTCACTGACACAGAAATATAGACAGAAACACTACTTATCGGCTGTACCATGAAGTCCTATTATCATCACCATTACCCTACTCAGCCGTTCTGATACTGATGTTTTATTACACATTTACGTCTAAAATCGTTGTTTTTATGAGTACTGATGCCTATGTAAAATGATTCGCCAAGTTCTTACACTAGAATCTTGTTTAAATCAATATAAATTCATGTTTTTTCCTCAGCTCGTATGCGTATATCATGGTCTATATTACGTGTTGATCCGAATAAACCCCCTCTCCCGGCCAATACTGCCCACGTCATTAATAGTCGATGCAAATGAGAAAAGAATGATAAAATCAAACTGAACGTAACAGACAAGTGATTAAAACTCCTTCTTCGTATTACGGAGGCCTCGGTTTCAAATCTCGATCCATTTGTATGTAACCATGGCGAAGCAGTTCACAAGACTAACTTGTACATCTGCACAGCCGCAAATCTCATATACCAAGAGAAAAACATTTAAATATGTATGTACTTTGTCAGAATATAAGTTCCAACATGTTTTGTACAGTGTCCCATTTAACGTGGAATCCGCCATGACAGGATCCCGCAGATGCAACGAGCGAACCACCGGGAAAAGAGTTAGCCGACGCAGTTGGGTTCCAGAGCAGTGATGAATTTGGACACAGTACGATCCTTGAGAGAGTTAACTCTTTAAAAAGAGGTAATTATATATACCACATGCTTTAACATTCAGTAATTCTGTCCACAGAGAGTATTATATGATTCTCACTGTAAACAACGATTATTTCCTCAAATAACATTAACTATTTTATCTTTGAAATGGAGACGCGTTGTTTTCTTTGCGGTACGGACTGAATTTGTGTATGATAACTAGATGGGTTTTGGCTTTAGATTTTTAAGAATCGGTAACCGGAACCACTTGCTACGGTAATTATGTGATTCGCGTGTTTCTTGCCTGTTAGTCACACGAAGTAGGAGGAACGCAGGAATCCGGCAGATGAGGAAATCTTGGATCATGGAGAGTGAAGGTAGTTGTGGTTGAGAGGCTGAGATTTGGCTGCTACCTCCGAAGGAACCACGTCATAATTTTGCTGTGTCAGGCCGGAAGTGACAGCTTTTTCACAGTTATAATTATTTATACCGTGCCCAAGACACACCGCAGTTTTTTCATGATTTCGTTTCTTTCTGCTGAAGTCATATAATTAATAATTAAATACCACTCTGACTTTCAAAAAATCAGATTAAGCTGGCTATCGCCAAGAAAGTTAGGGAGGATTGGGAAACCTGTATGAATGGGGAGAAGTATCGTAATTTCCTTGAGAGAAGCATTCCACCACTCTTCCCAAGAGGGATATTTGTTGCTAATTTTAGAGCCTTGACTGGTCATTATTACCTACAGGGGCACCTCCATAGAATCGGACTTTCGAATACACATGCCCCATGCCCTATCTGCGAAAAAGGCATCATGGACGCTTGTCATCTGGTAACACGTGGGGGCTTGAGAGAAGGAAAGGACTCGCTAAACTACAGAGAACTTGCTATACGATACTGGCCTGCTAGTGAATTAATAGCCGAAAGGCAACTTAAAACCGGCGTCTGATAAAAAATCTGACTTTACAGCTTAGGCCTGAAGGAATGCAAAATCGATATATTTCTAAATCAGGACAATCATCCTTTATGGTTCATGAGCACATTCGCCCCTTCTTATGGACTTGCGGGCCACAGTTTATTTAAACGATTAGAATTCTTTTTTCATAATGCTAATAGCTTTCTCCCTGCAAACAGGTTTACGTAATAACTGAACATTTTCTTTTGGGAAAATTTTTGATGTCTCATTTTTATTAATAATTTAAAATTAAACATATGATTTAGCCGATAATTATTTTTTAATGTGCTGAGTAATACAATATTAAAAGTGTACGCGGGTCGCACAAAATACATTAGCGGTCCGTGGGTTAAAATTATTTCAAACATTTTTTTTCAATTTTGTGAGTATTCATACACAATAAGTATAATTTGAGTTGTAAGGGTAATATCACTCGTGTAAATGAATCTGGTGATTTCAATACTAATAATTCCAGCGCCTTCATATGCCGCATAGGAACAATTTGAACACAGAGGTCTTACTTGTCATTAATTGTTGGTATTTCTGCCTCTTATAGATAAGAATCTCGTCATTATTTATTAAACGAGAACGTTGGGTACGTAGGTTATCAATTCAAGGTCTACTTAGAACCAAAGAACTTTGAGGCCTTAATGCACACAAAGAGCAGATTGGAATCGCCTCTTATAATTCAGTAGGCGCTATCTCCGTTCAATCATTACAAGTATTAAAAGGAGTCTCTTTAGACCACGGGTTACAGGTCTATTTGTTCTATAACAAAACATTTCTTAGAATCTGGAATTAAAATTACGTAAGACTAAAGCAGACAGCACACAATTGTTTTTAGAAGCTTTATGTTTGGCTAGTTATATCTTTTTGATAGTTGGGCTGTTCAACACGCCCCACAACTTCACATGAACCTGGAAATGAAATGTCATCTTGTTATTAACAAAATTAAAAGGGTAGATAAGCAGTTGTGTGGCGTTTTACCCAACTTTCATTTCTCTTTGAAGATCGGAGACATGACTGCGTAAGATATTAGTACTTATCTAATTTATAAGTCGCCTGTGCGTATATCGACAGGATTGAGCACTCGATTGTCCTTTTCTTATTGGTTGCAACTACTTGCGATAGATGTCGCTAGCTCGCAATGGCTGATGAAAGTAATGC